AGATTTTAGTCATTATTCCTGTTACCAAATATTTCTGGTTCTCTTTGCAGACATATGACAGGATTATACTCCTATATTTTTGTTTTTCAAGTGATGCATGATCATGTTTGTGCTTAAAAGTGAACTGGTAGAGGTCACCTCTGAATGAGAAATAGATCCAGTATATTATTTACAATGTTTTCCTTCCCTCTGTCAAGTGTGTAATTATTAGCTTCTGTCAACCTACAACCATGAGTGAGCATAATAGCAGAACAATTTAGACATGGAGAGTGAATAACAACATATAATTTTTGTTGTTTTAGGGTTCTGATATTTTATATTTGTTACTATAACATATCCTTGCCTATCCTAACTAATAAATTTTTTAATAAATTAAGAGATAAAATAATGTCAATTACACAACACCATACTTAACATATTACATGTGATTTACAATTTAGAACAGTTACAGTCATGTGAATTTCACCATTTTCATGTAATATAAACCTGGCAGAAAACAAGATAAAAACAGGTAAATTTTAGTGATAGTAAAGATTGTAAAATTACACAGTGTATGAAAATATGTATATATATATATGTATAAACATATATATGATGAATTAAGAGGCATTAAACACGAATGTCACCTTTTTTTTACATGAAACTATTTATTTTGCTTGAGTTTTAAAAGCAAACATCAGCTAAATAAACATGTATTTTATATGGGTTTCTTAAGTAATTGCTTTCATTTTACCCTTGACTTGACTGAGTCAGGAAAGCAAGTTAAGAAATTATTTATTTATTTATTTATTTATTTATTTATTATAAGAGACTATATACATTTCAAAAACAAGAAAAGCTATATATCATTTAGGCCTTATATGTTTTTATATGTTATTTGTTTAAAGCAAGGAAATGATGATAAAAATTCAGGAAGGTATTTAACTCTGGCTGTAAGGCTTCAATGAGGAGTTCATAGCTTAAAATCTCTGCTATAAATCAGATGTCTAAGCTGTCCTGCTATCCTCCTAAAGAGGCCATATAGACTCAGAAAATCACCTTTAGAATATCATCTATTAAAAAAAGAAAACTCTGTTTTGGACTTGTTGTCCAAGGCAGTGACCTCAGATATTATATGACATTTTAGGAGCGTAGATAAAAATAAGCAGCAGTTTATAAATGTAAAGATGCCTAGCCATGTGTCTTTTATTTATGTGAAGTTAAAGTGCTTGTTTTAGTATATCTACAGCTGAAGTAGTTGGAAGATAATGTATATGCACAGGCATCTTTAAAACTAACTCTCCTAATCACCAAAGTTATAAATAATATATATAATTTTTTTTCTAAATCTCTTTTCCTTTTGTTTATTTTGCTTTCCATCCTCTTCAGCCACTTGTAAGAAAATTGCAGGCATATTCTATATTCTGAAAGCATAGACATGCTTAGATTAATAAATAATTCTCCTTTTTTCCAAATGAAAATACATGTTTTAGATAAAATGCAATAATGAAGGATCTGAGGAATTTGGGAGGCCAAGGTGGGCAGATCGTCTGAGGTCAGGAGTTTGAGAATAGCCTGGCCAACATGGTGAAATCCCATCTCTACTAAAAATAAAAATTAAAAAAAATAGCTGGGTGTGGTGGTGGGAACCTGTAATCCCAGCTACTTGGGAAACTGAGGCAGGAGAATTGCTTAAACTTAGGAGTCAGACGTTGCTGTGAGCCAAGACTGAGTCACTGTGCTCCAGCCTGGGCAACAGAGAGTGACCTTTTCCCAAAAAAAAAAAAAAAAAAAAAAAATACAATAAGCCTGGAGATTTATATGACCTTTGTTAATTAAAATGAATAAAATATTATTTAGTTTTCATAGTTATGACAAATTTTACCTGCTGCTGACTTCAAGAAAGGAACACTTTGAGACTTTAATCATTTCTAAAGATCATTTGCTATAATGACATATCATATACATGATATTTCTAAGTATAGGAAGCAGTGTCAAGATTTTATAATTTAACTTATAAAAAGTTTTGTCCTTTTGAAATTCAGTATTGTTTTTGGTACGAATCAAGGTTGCTCCTGCTACAAGTTTGTAAGAGTAAAATGTAGTCATTTGGCTGTGGATACGGGAAGCCTGAAAGTAATGGAAGGTATTTTTGAAGCTAAGGAATGGCTCCAATAGCCAGAAAATAGATTCATGGCTGATGTGTGGACATCTTGGAGTATCAGCTTTCCATGGGGTCATGGAAAGTTCTGGCTGATTTATGTACAATCATGCTGTCAAAGAACATTGTCTCTTAAACGTTTCTAATGTGCGCCTGAACTCTTTTTATGAATTAGGTTCAGTGTTTCAGATCTTCATGCTTATTTCAGAGAGATCTCTCTTCAGGAAGAGATCTCTCTACATTTATTAGCATTGGCTTAGGGACATAATTGATTTACAGATAGATGGTTTATATTTTCTGAAACTTTGGAGATCACCAAGACTCCCATTTCCCTCACTGAGCCAGTGTTTGTGTGGGGAGGAAAAATTTACACTGTTTCCTTTCCATTATACTTTTTGTGCCTTCTTCACAGGGTCAAGAGATTCTCCCCGGTCAGGTACTCTGTACTCTGGGCTTTCACGGGTCTCCTTGTTGAACATAGACAGGGCCCACAGGTTTCACTACTTTGCTCCTCTGCCTGAATAATGGATAAAACAACCAGCCTTCTTTATTTGATCTGTGATACGTGTTTCTTATTTTTTACAAAACAAACTCTGCAACTGTCAGATTCATGCAAATCTCCTTACTAAATGATTAGGGCAACTTCTAAAGGAATTTAAAAATATAAAGGGAAAGATTTCAAGCTCTGCCTGCAACCCAACATCCTTTGCATCTCACAAAAGGATTTTCATAGAACCCAAGGCACTGAGAAGAAGAAAATCTCCAACGGATGCCCCATTACTCTTTACTTTGCTCTCGGTCAGGATTATGCAGGCTCCCTTCTTCAGGTTACTCCGTTTAAGAAATCAATCATCTAACTCCTTCAACAGAAATATGTCTCATTTACTTGAGCTTTTTTCAGTCTCCATACTCCAGTATGGTGTTAGACCAAATGGAAATTGTTGTGAAGACTTCAGCTTTAATCTGCTAAACTGAAATTCTCTTTAGTTTACAATTTCATTTGTACAGGTAAGTATATACTTTTCATGCCTTATTTCTTTTTTAATATTTCCATTAGTGGGAATTCAGGCTGGGAATTCAGGCTGTCTCTTACCTCCTCTTGTTGACCTTTAAAGTATGAACATTTCCTCCTAAAACAACTGTTCCTGTTTTGTTTTTCTTAGAACTTATTATTCAAGTCCTTTGAGGTAGGATTCAGATCTGACTTTGAAGTCCATGGACTATCTCTGGGTGTGAGAATTTTAGATGAGTGATTAATAGACATGTGTCTTCACCTTTTGATCTAGCCTTGGGGCAGGCACAAGTGCTTATGTTTTATAATCTTCCTCAGAATGGAAGAAGAAAGATGTCAGTGGTCCCCTTATTGAGACACACTTAATTTTCTTTTTATGTTATAAATATTAATTGAAATTTTAATGGGTAATTTTAATATACATTTTTACTTTGAGATAAATTCGTTGAAAAGTTGCCAAGATGATACAGAGTATCCACATACGCTCCTCACACAGTTTTCCAAATGTTTAATTTTTAACATAATTCTATATTTTCTTTTTTCGGCCAATTGAAGATTTATTTTCTATTTTATGCTTTCAACTGTTGCTTTAGATTCAGGGAGCACATGTGCAGGTTTGAGACTTAGAGTTTAGGCACATATTGACACTGAGTTTTGGGGTGTGATGGATCCCTTTACCGAGGTAGTGAGCATAGTACCCAATAGGTAATTTTTCATACCTTGGCCCACTCCTGTTCTTCCCTCTATAGTCATTCCCAGTGCTACTGTACCCATATTTATGTCCATGTGTACCCAATGATTAACTCCCACTTGAGATTAACTCCCAATGAGAACATGCAGTATTTGGTTTTCTCTTCCTGCATTAATTTGCTTAGGATAATGGCCTTCAGCTACATTCATGCTGCTGCAAAGCACAAGATTTCATTCTTGTTTTATCGCTGTGTAGTATTTCATGGTGTATATATACTGCATTTTCTTTATCCAATCCATGGACATCTAGGTGGATTCCATGTCTTGATAATAAGGTTTGGCTGTGTCCTCACCTGAAATCTCATCTTGAATTGTAATCCTCATAAGCTTCATAATCCTCACCTGTCAAGGGAGAGACAAGGTGGAGGTAGTTGAATCATGAGGGGTGGTTCCCCCGTTGCTGTTCTCGTGATAGTGCCTGAGTTCTCGTGAGACCTGATGGTTTTATAAGTGTGCGGCGGTTCCTCCTGAGTTCACGCGCCTTCCTGCTGCCTTGTGAGAAAGGTGAGTTGCTTTCCGTTTATCTTCTGCCATAATTTTAAGTTTCCTTAGTCCTCAGCTATGCTGAACTGTGAGTTGATTAAACCTTTTTGCTTTATAAATTACCCAGTCTCAGGCAGTGCTTTATAGCGGTGTGAAAACAAAACAATTATTTGGCTTTTGTGTTTAATGCCATGATGGAACACACAAATTAATGTGTTCTTTTTTCTTAGGGTGATTTATTTTCCTTTGTGCATATGCCTAGCAATGTAATTGCTGGGTCTAATGGTAGTTCTAAGTTCTTTTGGAAATCAGCAGGCTGCTTTCCAGAGAGGCTAAACTAATTTATATTCAAACCAAGAGTGTATAACCATTCCCTTTTCTCCACAGCCTCACCAACTGTGTTAAACTGTTCTTGTATCACTATAAAGAAACACCTGAGACTGGGTAATTTCTAAAGAAGAGAGATTTAATTGGCTCATGGTTCTGCGGGCTATACAGGAGGAACAGCCCCAGCATCTTCTCAGCTTCTAGGGAGGCCTCAAGGAGCTTTTGCTCATGGTGTTATTTTTTGACATTTTAATAACAATTCTGATTGATGTGAGGTGGTATCTCATTTTTGTTTTGATTTGTATTCCTCTGATGGTTAGTGATGTAGGGCATTTGTCATATGTTTGCTGGCTGCTTTTAAGTCTTCCTTTGAGAACTGTCTCTCCATGTCCTCTGCTCACTTTTGAGTTCGTTTTTTCACTTTTGAATTGTTTAAATTCCTTATGGCTTCTGGATATTCAACTTCTGTCAGATGCATAATCTGTGAATATCTCCTCCCATTCTGTAGGTTATCTGTTTACTTTGTTGATAGTTTGAGGTGCAGAAGCTCTTTAGTTTAAGGTACCAATTGCCAGTTTTTGCTTTTTATAATACTCATTTTTGTAATTGTTTCTGAGTACTTAAATTCTTAGACATGGCTGATGTCCAGAATGACATGTCCTATGTTCTCTTCCAATACTTGCATAGTTTTAGGTGTCACAATTATATTGCGACGATTTTTGTATATGTTGAAAGGTGGGGATGCAGTTTCATTCTTCTGTATATGGCTAGCCAGTTACCCTGGCACCATTTATTGAACAGAAAGTTTTTTCCTCATTGCTTATTTTTTTCAACTCTGTTGAAGATACAATGGTTGTAAGTGTGCAGCTTTATTTCTGTTCTCTAATCTGTTCCATTGGTCTATGTGTTTGTTTTTGTGACAATACCATGCTGTTTTAAAGCAGTATTATATGCAATTTGAAGACAGGTAATGTGATGCCTTGAATTTTTTTCTCCTAAGATTTCTTTAGCTATGCAATTTCTTTTCTAGTTCCATATGAATTTTAGAAGACTTTTTCTAGTTCTTGGAAAAGCATAGTTGGTAGTTCAATAGGAATAGTGGTGAATCTGTAAATTGCTTTGGGTAACATGGCCATTTGAATGATATTCTTCCAATACATGGGCATGGAATGTTTTTCCATTTGTTTCATCTATGAATTCAATCAGGAACATTTCACAATTATCCTAGAAATTTTCACTTCCTTTGTTAATAAAGACATTACTACCTTATTTTTTGTGGGTATTGTAAATGAGTTGGTGGTGTTAATACAGCTCTCAACTTGAACATTATTGGTGTGTAGAAATGCTACTGATTTTTGTAAGTTGATTTTGGATCCAGAAACTTTACTGAAGTTGCTTATCAATTCTAGGATCTAGGAGCCCTTTGGAAAAGTCTTTACGGTTTTCTAGGTACAGAATTATGTCATCAGCAAAGAGAGTTAATTTGTTTTTCTTCCTATTTAGATGCCTTGTATTTCTTTCTTTTGCCTGATTGCTCTTTCTAGGACTTCCAGTACTATGTTAAAGAGGAGTGGCAAAAGTGGGCATTACTGTCTTGCTCCAGATTGTCTTGCCAAGGGGTGTGCTTCCAGATTTTGTCCATTCATTATCATGCTCACTCTACATCTGTCATAAATGGTTCTTAATATTTTGAGGTTTGTTCTTTTAATGTCTGGTTTGTTAGAGGTTTTTATCATAACAGGATGTTGAATTTTATCAAAAGATTGATCTGAGTCTGTTGAGATTATCATAAGGTTTTGTTTATGAGGTAAATCAAATTTATTGATTTGCATATGTTGAATCAACTTTGCATCCCGGGAATAGAGCCTTCTTGATCATGGTGAATTAAATTTTTCATGTGCTGCTGGATTCTGTCAAATACCATTTTACATATGTTTTAATTCTGGAATACTACATTTCTTCCTTTCTTTTTAAAATATACTTCTATAAAGTTCTTTAATGTTTAATTGTAACACTCAGAAATGTTAGCTAACATTTTTTATGTAATTGCCTGATGTTTTCTAAGAGTCCTACATAACAGTTTCACACTCAACTTGTTTTGTGTTGAAGCATATGCTTTCTTCAGATGAAATAATAACTGTAGAGAGATGAAAATTATTCAGGAATTTAGCAATATTGTGAATTCAACAAATTTGATAATTGGACATGAGCTTTCTATGAATTTTGAATCTTGTATTTTAAAAATTTGTGTGTGTGTGTGTGTGTGTGTGTATTCTTTCCTGATCAGGCTACTCTATTAAAGTAGCAGAAATGCTCAATAATTAGTGTAAATTTTTGGTGTACCCAATATGGGACATTCCTAATTAAAGCAAAGGAAAAATCAAAGAGCGAAATGGAAGTCTTGGTTAGAGCAGAGGTGATGTCAGCCACATCGTATTTATCAAATCCACTCATGGATATAAATCTAACATTCTCACCAACTCTGGTCATAACCAAAGTGACTCTTAGATACTGATCTCCTGGAGATCAAGAATGATGTCATAGTATTGCTCTATCCCTTGCACCCAAAACAGTATACATGAGAGGCATCAAGGGTAATTTGGTTACTCTACCAGGAAATGATGAAAGATCTAAAGTAATTAATCATGTATAATAATTGTGTGTCTGTACTCCAATTGACAAATTTAGACGAATTACTTGCATGCCTTCTAAGATACAAGTAACATTATTCCCTGTGTATTATCGAATTTAAGGTTTGTCTGCTTCCTTGTAACTTTTAACTAAAGATCCGTAAAAATAAATTTAATGAAAGAATTGTGGAAAACAGAATTTCTACTGCAATATCTTACTAAGATCTGTCATACCATTTGTAATAAGTGTCTTACTTTGTTTTGTTTATGACACTTTTAATGTTCATAATGTGGGATCAGGTAACAAATTCAAGGCAATCAGCAGTTTTATATTTTGTAATAGTTTTGCTATGAATTCTTTTAAAATATAAAGTAAACTCTAGACAAATGGTTCTAAATATTTTCACCACACTTCCTTATCTTTTTTGTTCCTGTACTATAAACCCAAATTTAAGAGATGGTATATGCCAAATTTCATTTAGAACATTATAATTGTTTACTCTATTTTGAGTAACCAAATACATGTATAAAGACTTCTATGGAGAAACAGTGTCATAAAACTAGTTAACATATTTCCATATCAGCAAAAATAATGCCTTATTACCTTATGACTCTTTATAATTTAAACCTGTGATTTTCTTTGGGTTTTGAAAAGTATCAAGCATGAACTTTCTTTTCTTTCCTTAGAGTCACTACAGTTAATCTTGTAAAATAATGTCATGTGATTTCATCTTAAAATACAGTATTTTGTATAGTCAACATATAAACCATCAATGGTTTCCAAATCTTCTTGTTCATTAAAACCCAAATCAAAGCAGGTAGCTAATGGAGCCTAGTAATTGTTATCAGTGCATAACTAGTAGTCTTCTATACCAGAAGTAAATGCTTTTACAGAGAACTGTTCATAAAAGTTTTAATGGCTTGGAAACCAAATATTTTCATCTTGATTAAGAAAATGAACATTTAATGTGGTTTACATTTTAACTAATGAGGATCAACTTAAATAGTTTAGTGTCCCAAGCCAAAAGAGACTGGGTTTGAAGAGCCCCAAATATAGCATTGTTTATTTCTCACCAAAGAAATAGTTGAGCCAACATTTGTCCCTGCTGATTAAAACATAGCAATAAAATAACAATAACAGTCAGTAACAATGTTAGAACATTCATATTTTTCTCAGCACAGTTCTGTGCATGTTATTTATAAAAATCTACTTAATCTTTACATGTTATGAAGTAGCTACTATTACATAAAAAGTCAAACTGAAAAAGTCTTTTATTAATAATAATACTTATATATTAAAGGAACTATAATTTCAAATTTTTTTGGTTGTGTTAATTTGCACATCACTGTCTAGGCAAGATGAACATATGCAGAGCTTCTGCCACCAAACGCTCAGAGAGGACCAATAGGCAACCCAGGACAAGAGTTTTACTTCATTAATAAATGTCATTTGCTTTGATGTGTAAGGCCCTATGTAGTGATTTCAGGCAAGAAGTCAGCACAATGGTGGAAACTTGTCTACCTTGAATAGAGTAAAGGAAAGTCATGCAGGTAAAGGAAAATCAATTGAACAAAACTGTGAATAATTAAGTTGATGAGATTGGACTTTATTTGAAGGTAATGGGAATCACATAGGCATTCAGTCAAAAACTAACCTGAAAGGAAGTGTGACATTTGAAGAAAATGTATCTGACAGCAGTTGGTGAGATGGAACAGGTCTTGGGAGAATGAAAATAATCTGCTTTAAAAGACACCATAAAGAAGAGGTTGTGAACGACACTGGTGGAAATAGAAATAGAAAGAACTCACAGAACTAAGAGATAGTGTACAGGGGAATTAGCCACTGATAAACCCACAAATTGGCAGTGGGAAAAATATATATACAGGTTACACTGATTTTGATGGCAAAAGTTTGGAATAATGAAAAGAACTATTTAAAGTAGTTTATAGAATAGGTTAAGAGGATTAGGACAAATGACATAAGCCAGGATGCCCTATCACCAGGACTCATGGAAAACAAAATTTAATCTTGTTACCAATTACTGTATTTATCAAAATCAAGGTTCTCTCCAGCATTCAGCTTCCCTAGAGCTACAGTGTTTCTTGTCAGAGATAGGAAAAGCCAGGGAGGTCTAATAACTCAGGGCTTCCCCTTAAAAATATACTCAGATACACATATAAATTGCCTTGGGTAGATATATAGAGCATCAACACTGGCCTCCACATAACCCCTCACAAATTCAGAGTAGAGTGTCTCCTCCTGTGACAGGGATGGTACTCATTTGCAGTCCCTTTGTTCATCAAAGTATGTTCACCAGCCTTCCCCACAGACTCTCATTCTTAGCCAGTATCACCCACCTTATAAGAAGAGCTGATGATTTAATAAGCACAGAAAATCACAAAGGAAACTTAAATTCTCATTTTTCAGTAACAACTAACTCAGTGTTTAAAAATGATCCTCCCCTTTGCTAATTAAAAAAAAAAAAAAAAAAAAAAACCCTCTTCTTTCCTTTCTTTGCAACGTTGGACCCTATCAGTCAGCCTTTCTCTAATGTTTATGCTCCTCTCCTATCTCCCTGACAAATAGTGTTTCATTTTCTTTCCTGAAGAATATTTCTTCGCTCCTCTTTGTTTCGCCCACATTTTAACATTCATTGTTTCTGTGTGACTCTGTTTAATCACCAGTGAGTGATTCCGGCTAAAGTAGGATGAGATTGTGCAGAGAAAAAATGGGATTTGAGGAGAGAATCTAAGGAGTTTAGAAGTAAAAACAATGTTGAAGGAATGTACTTTTAAAAAGAGAAAAAACAATTTTCCTCTTAGAATAAAACAGTAAGAAAAATGGATAGAGACTCCTGAGTTCAGAGGCAGAGAATTACACAGATACTGGATATTTTATATTGCCTGAAAAAGCAAATTGGGTTATCTGCTTAAAATGTCTGATTTTTAAGAGGGTGAGACAATTCAGATCAATGGGCCTCCAAGGGAGCTTATATTTGGTGAAGTTTTAGTAAACGTAGTGTTTGCATAATTCATCTTTACGTTCTTATGCAAAGTAAACTTTTCTTAAAAAATAATCTTGAGATATGCAGAGGTCAGCATATTTAATAAACTGAACCATTTAAAATGCACTAGAGTATGTATTTTATTAATAACAGTGATTGTTGCTAGCATGGTGTTTGGAAGGTCACTGATCAATAGATGTTCATTTATTGAAATAAAATAATCTTAGCATTAATCCATTTTTGATGAATATTGCTTTGGTTAAGCAAATAATTACAACAAAATGTTGCATTTATCAGTGAATTCGATTATGACCACTGGGCTTACTTAAAATGAATTACATGTATATAATTTTATATAAATGAAAATAATTTTCTCCACCTATACAGTAAACTTTAGGGAACAGAATATACTTAAGCTTGCTATGTTTATGTCTTCCTAAAAAGGAATATGTATTTTTCTCCATTGAATATTAAGAGATTGGATATTTTTATTCTCACTCCTTTATTAAACTAGTAAGAAATCTTCTTTTATGTTTCAGGAAAGCATGGCAGAGTGTTGTATACACAGCTTTTCAGTAAAGGGGGGAAAAGGAGACATCGTATTGATAATACATTATTCCTTAGAATGACAGTGGAAACATAGACCATCTCTGTTTATCTTATACATTGCAATTCTTTTGCAAAATACAGATAATCCTGTAGGGGGTGTAGAAAACATACCAATAATAGGGCTTTACAGTACAAGTCAGCCTATTATGATTATTATATTCTACTAACAACAATTTCTGTCTCACTTTCTCAATGATATCTATCACAAAATGTGTTGCTCAGCTTTCGCAAGAAAGCAGACAGAATGTTCAGTGGTTTAAATGTGCTAATCCAGGCTTCTTTCTGAAGGTGCACTGGCATATTCAATCTCACGCCAGTTAGAATGACAATCTTTAAAAATCTGGAGACAACAGATGCTGGAGAGGACGTGGAGGAAAAAAAAACATTGTTACACTGTTGGTAGGAGTGTAAATTAGTTCACCCATTATGGAAGACAGTGTGGCAATTCCTCAAGGATCTAGAAATAGAAATTCCATTTGACCCAGCAACCCAATTACTGGGTATATGCCTAAAGGATTATAAATTGTTCTATTATAAAGACACACGCATATGTATTGTTCATTGTAGCACTCTACAATAGCAAAGATCTGGAACCAAGCCAAATGCCCATCAATGATAGGCTGACTGACAAAAAAAAAGTGGCACATATACACCATGGAATACTATGCAGCCATAAAAAATGAGGAGTTGGTGTCCTCTGTAGAGACATGGATGAATCTAGAAACCATCATTCTCTGCAAACTGACACAAGAACAGAAAACCAAACACTGCATGATTTCACTCGTAGGCAGGTGACGAACAATGAGAACACTTGGGCACAGGGAAGGGAACAACACTTACTGGGGTAGGTGGGGGGGTGGTGGGGAAGGGAGGAGGGACACTGGGGGGCGGGAAGGTTGGGGAGGGTTAACACCGGGAGAAATGCCTGATGTAGATGACAGGGTTGGGGTGAGGAAGACAGCAAACCACCCTGGCATGTGTATGTACCTATGCAACAATCCTGCAGGATGCAGGATGTGCTCATGTACCCCAGAGCCCAAAGTACAATAAAAAAGTAAAAAGAATCGGTTTTAGAAACCAACCCCTGTAATTTGTCTTACGTGATGACTTTCCCAGAAAGTTTCATTTAGGCTCAGTTTCATTTATAAGACTAGAAATACTAGAATCTTTTTATCACTCAAATTCCCATCGCATATTCTAAATCCATTGTATCAGATTTTTCCTATATGATGTGTGGTTATATAATAATAAGATTGGTATTTTATCAGTCTTTGCCTAATTTTCCCATTACTCTACAATCATAGGTTCAGAGTATTATTTTCCTGAAAAATTTATGTTTATCCACAAGAAGTTATTGCCTAGGGGTCAGCAAACTTTTTCCGTAAGAACAAGATAAATCTTGAGGGCTTTTGTGGGCCAGATCGTCTCTGCTGCAACAACCTAACTCTGTTGTAGTGTGAAAATTGTCAACAGTACATCTTTAAAAAGGGGAACAAGATTGTGCACATTTGAATTTAAATTTTATGTAATTTTCCCATGTCAAGAAATGTTTTTTTTTATTTTTTCTCCAAATATTTAAAAATGTAAAAAACATTCTTATCCTTTCAGCCTTATAAAAATCAGGTGGTGGGGTGACAGTCAGTGAACCTACTCTTAGAAGCCCAGTCCCAGATTTAGAACATAGATTAAGAACTCTAGAAGAATACAGATAGGAAGTAGAAAAAATAATGTAAATTTGGTTCACACTATGATTGTTGTAGTGTGGCAGTCTAGAAAATTAAAGATGGTAATTTAGTTAGAAGTGGGGTATACTGGTAATGGTGGAAGCTAGACACTTACCTTGAAGTCACTTTTGCAAAGCAAGCACGTTATTTAATTTAGAGTACCTTTGGTGGGAACAAATCCTCTGCTTAACATCCCTGTACCCTATCATTCCTCATTGCCACTACTTACTTAAAATGTGAACAATCTGTTACAAGAGTAAACACACAAAGAAAGCTAAGGGAGAAGCGATGTGTTTCTCATCAATATCACTACATATAATAATTATATTAAATCCTTCCTTCAGCCTTTGAGACTTAGCGTCACTATGAAACAATACCTGTTTCTCTTGCCATTTCCTCTCTTATCCCAATCAATGAATTATCAACCTTCCTTCCTTTAGATTACTTACTTTTTTTCAATCCTTATTAACAGATGTTATCCCAGTATGCCATGAGGCAGAATTGATGACTTCTTTAAAATCTCTTTGAAGTTAAATTTTGTGGAGGTAGAGTCTCTATCAGTATCCTCAGAAGCTTCTCCAGGAGGGACCTTCAATTGAATTGTCTTTTATTTAAAATTTTATTTTTAAGTTATATTAAACCAGTTAATGAAATGTAAGATGTTTTCAGATTCTCAACTATTAATATTGAAGATCAGTGTTTGACTTCCTTCTCTATGCAAAAGGAAATATTTTGTTAAAAATAGTTAATGAGTAACATGGACTGAAAATTTTAAAAATTCATACTACATATTTTCTTTTAATGAAAACAACCATTTGATGCTTTGATATCTTCCTGGAGTTCCATTTTATCTGTAGATACAGATATTTTTTTCATATGGAATAACATGCTGCTGTTGTCTCCACATATAGCCGCCTCTGTGTGTCTTCACATATTTTGCTCTATAGTGAGTTTATTTAGACACCAAAGTATCTATTAGTTTGTTAAGGCACATACTTTTGTAACAGTCTTTCAACACAGTTGTTCTAGAAATATATAATGTGTAGCAAACTAATTATTGCTCCTTGGTGCCTACACACTCACACATGCATACACACACACACACTAAAGTGGATAACACAAATCTGTTATTAGAATATGTATGTCTGTTTACATACAGAGATTACTAATCAAACCATAATAACGATAATCATCATTACATTCATAGTAATTCACATTTGTTATATTCTTACTCTGTTACACATTATGCTAACCAGGTTACTTGCATGTTCTTATTTGGTGCTCACCGCAATAACACTGATAAAACACAGCTTCATAATCATTTATCACTGCTAAGAATGAGTTTACCTGGCTCTACATCACAGTGTATGTTGCAGCGTAAGGCTAGTAGGCTATTACTATCTGTATGAGCAAAGTGTTTCAAACAAGGAATACAACTAAACTTAATAGGGCATTTGTTAAAACCTAAATATCACTTTAGGAAGGATATATATGTTTATTGCTCCAATCAAATAGATGCTTACACTGGCATTTTAATAGATCCATTTTAACCTCAAATACTCATGTACTTAATCTATGTCCTTTGTCTACAGAAAACAGGAGATATCAAAATATGTTACCTCTTCTCATATTATACCTACATGATAGAAGAACTTTAGAATATGTTAAATGGGAAGTAGAATATATAGAAGAATTCCTCAGTCTTCTAATATTTCTTGAAAACAAAGTTACAGTTGGGCTAAATACTCTCCTTTCCCATGCTTATTTGGACATTCTGTGACTCATTCCACTCCATATCCTATTCTTTCTCCTATTCTTAGTCTTCTTCCTTTTCTTTTAAACCTACTTTTTAATATATAATAATGATGGTTAATGTTGTATACTATGCTGTTCATCAATGCTAAGAACAATTTCTTAGTTTCATTTTCTCACTCAAATGAAGTCCAGGTACTAAGGTCACAAAAAATTTAGCTCTATGGAAGGAAGGCCTTATGATATAGTAAGTTTCCATATAGGAAAAGTGTATGTTCTTTTTATTGTATATTAATATGATTTACTTCTGAGTAAGATTGCTTGTAAAACACAATTTTACTATTCAAAGGCAGATTCACAAAGAAGTTAGGTAATTAAGAAAGTCCTACATTTGCTATCTTGAAGATCTAAAATTTCATCAGTTAGTTGCTCAGTGGCTACCATCCACTGGAAAGAACCTTCACAGTATTCTTAGGACTCTGGTGATATTTAAAATAGTCACAGTTTTAGGCCAGGTGCACTGGCTCATGCCTGTAATCCAAGCACTTTGAGAGGCCAAGGCAGGCAGATCATGTGCGGTCAGGAGTTCAAGACAGGCCGGCCAACACGGTAAAATCCACCCCCTATTTAAAAAAAAAAAAAAAAAAAAAAAAAAGTCATGTTTTTAAATGATGCAATTAAATTCATTATAAACATTAGTGATCTATAATGACAGTTCGCTTATGAACTAGGTTTTCTTTTTCTATGTTGAATTTAAACAAGTATTTAGGCCAGAAATGCCATTTTACAAAAAAAGTATAAGCTTTTAAATTACTGATTTTAATCGTAAAAATGGGCATCCAAGGAAATTAGTAATGAGAAGGAAGACTATATAATGCGGTAAGCTATAGCCTCCATGTAGCTGAAGACACATTAATATCACCTAGTTAAACTTCTTATAAATACAAGTCTTTTGGGTTCCAGTTGCCAGGTGCTCATGAGTCTAAGTGGGACTCAAAGTCTCAAACTCAACAAGTGTCTTTGGTAACTGTGAGTCCAGTGGTGTAATTCTCAACATGTGCTTTGAATTAAAGTTAACTAGAGGTACTTTTTAAAAAATCAGATTTCTGTACTGAGCTAAAAATATCTGATTCTGTATCTGGACAGCTGTCTGGGAATCTGCATTTTAACAAGCACATCTGTGATTACAGTTGGGAAGTCCACAAAACATACTTTGAAAAATAAGACACACTTACAATGGCTTCATTTAATAGCCCCAAACAGATAAAATATTAAGGCCTCCAAATAAGCAGTTCTATGATTTCACTGATTTAAAAGTTGCTCATCTGTCTAGGGGTGTGTTATTTATACCTGACCTAATTTTCTGTAGAAAATCAAGGAGAGTAGCTTTTTCCTCAGTGTTCTTTCTGCGTCTTCCAATTTTCTATAGTTTCTGAAGAGCTCTTCCTCATGCTTCCCTTTTATAATTCCTTTAGTTCAGGATCAAACAGCAGAAACCTGGACATTGATTCCACCCACAGATAGAATTTTGAGTTTTTTTTTTAAGCTTTATTTGAAAAAAAATTTTAGTCACTTTTTTTGAATTAAACATTGTTAAGGGCTTTGCACATTAAAATATCAAAATGTATTTCTACTCAAAAAAATGAGATAATTTGGTAATGCTGAGCCTACTGTTTTCCACTGCCTTTAAACAGTGATATTTGTAGTTCACAAGTATCTGTACCAATCCCTGTAATCTCACAGATACTGAGACATAGTATCCATGGCCATTTTCCATTGGGAATATTTTTATTATTGAAAAACTTCTCTCTATGTTTATGGTTCTAAACCCAATAATAAATTATAAAATTTGACTGAAAGGCTATATATATCAAGATAAATGGAGAGAATCTTTAATGAAATGAACAATATTTTGTGTGTTTATTTTATAAAAATAAAATGCTTGACACATTTTGTTACTTGTATGTGTCTTATTTTGTCATTCTTAGTTTATGTGTGTTTTTCTCTCTCACTAGAATGAAAGTCTATGATATTTTTATACAGAGATAGACAGTGTCTTATTCATCTCTATGTTTCAGGTACCAAGCTAACTGTGATGTTCTTGGCATAGAACAGATGTACATACATGTATTTCATTGATTAATACTGTTTTTTTTTTTTAAACTATGAACACTAGAGATTGCATAATTCTAATTTATTTTCTTGGAATTTTCCTCAATTTGTTGCACATCTGTTGGATTATCTCTTGAATCTTCTCATTCCATTTCTTGCCCAATTCCACAATTTCCACATATTTCTGTTTAGTTACAGAAACACAGAATAAAACATCTACTGAGTATACTTTTATAATAAGCATTGTATCTAGTAAAGAATAATTATGTCCCAACATGTTCTAGCCTTATGACTGCTAGTAGAAACAACCCCCTTCTATTTTCTACTGTATAGACTCAATTTGTATCACTTTACCACTTACGTAGTGCATGTTTATTCTCAGTTAATTCATAATATGTATTCTCTCACCTGGTGTATATTTATTATTTTAGGTAATAGCTAATTTTCAGTGTACTTTTTCTCTTGAGAAAGCATGATGACCATTTAGAAAACATTGTGTGACTGGATAAATACATATGCAACATTCAATTAAAAAATAAATTAAAATCCGAGCCCAAATCAGTAAAACCGAAAATAATCACCAGTTGCTCAGTACTTAGCATATATGTATCATATGTTAGTCATTCAACAAAGACTATTCTGCCTGATATCTCATTTGATCCTCATCACAACTCTGAGAAACTCTAGATTAAAAATACAGATTCCAGGAAGAGGTAATAAATAGCAGAGACCAGAATGAAATGGCAGACTCTTTGATCCCAAACCCTTGTTCCATACACAGGAGTATGCAGCGGGGCTTTCCTCTTGGTGGGAATTTTTGTGGAGAAGCATGAGAAAAGTAAGGACAGTGTAAGAAGAAAGTTGATGACAGTGGCACCCTGACCAGAAACTGACTTGTATAGACAGAGCATTTCATTAGTGTTGAAATATTTAATATTTAGTTCAGATGGTGCCAATATAATTGTAACATTAAATTATAGTTTTGTGGCTATTTTGGTCATCAAAATTATTCAACTTTAAATTGCTTAAACTTCCAAAGGGATAAAGTTCTTGACTCTAAAAGCTTTAATTTTTAAGCCATTAAAATTCCTTTAATGAGCAATATTGCCTTAATAATAACCCCTTAAATGGAATAAAACTTTCAGCATTTTCAACTGCTTTCACCTCTTTCATCTATTTTAAAAATTCTTGGAACAAATAAAACAGCCTAGATTTGATACTGGCAGGAAGTTGAGAAATGCTTGAATGATCCAGCAGATGATAAAACTCTAAATCTCTTCTGTCCTCTCAGTTTCTCTAAGCTTTGGTTTAGCATTTTTATTTCCATATTTGAGACACTGTATGATTTTTATTCTTACTAATATACAGTTCCAATTATATATGTATAGATCTAATATGTATACATATGTGTGTATATATGTGTATATGTTGCTATGCATTGTTTACTAATTCTCTTGCTAATGATTTTTATCCACTTTATAGAGCATTAAAATAGTTTTATTATGAAACAATTATCTTTATTAAGAAAATAAACTAATGCTTCAACAAAAAGTGATAGAATTTTAAATTTGGAAGTGGTCTGGGAGTTCCTTGTCTCCTGCCATTGTAGTACTCATTTGTAAAATACTCATGAAAACTCATCCAAGGCTGAGGAGCTAACAAATTTAGATAGTTGTTTCCTTGTGTGTGGAGGACCATTCACAGTAATCAATGAAACCATTTGCAACTTCGATTTTTTCTGTGTGGTTTTTGTTGTTACTGCTCTGGTGCATGATTAAAATAAAGCTGCTGCCAATCTTATTCCCTTTTAATACCAGTTAATCTGCTAAAATACTAAAATTAAGAATTTGCTTGTGTTCAGATTGTTCAAAAAAGCATCATGTCCACAGAGACCCTTGACCACATTTGTCAGAGTCCCTACTTTACATTTGTCTCGCTTTCCTTGTCTGTTACCGTGTGTGTGTGTGTGTGTGTGTGTGTGTGTGTGTGTGTGTGTGAGAGAGAGAGAGAGAGAGAGAGAGAGAGAGAATATGTATGTGTGTGTGTTAGAGAGAGAGAGAGAGAAGGACTGAAGTCTTTAATATTTCATCTTGAGATTGTGATGGAACGTGCTTCCCTGTTTCTTATGCCACAAAGTGAATCATATTTGCTGGATTTAATAGCTCAATGACTCAGCAAATATCATTCATTGAACTCCCTGAACAATAGTCTTTTTCCTCATTCACATTCTGCACATATTTTAAGCCTTGCTGTTAGGGAGTTCGAAAGTTTCTTTCTCTTCATTTTAGAAAAATATGACAGTGCTGTGTTTCTAAGGCACACTTTAGAAAATGAAGTCTTTCTAAATTGAACTTTCTAAAGTGAAGCTTTTCTAAAGTATGCTTTAAAAATAGAGCAGCGCCATGTTTCCCTATAATGGACATTGCAAAATATAAATATTGTTTCTAGCCCAAAATCAGTATTTTTGTCTAACCTTCCATATTTCCTTAGTTTTCCCAAATATTGTCATCTAATTATGTTAAAATGTAAAATTATACTGTGCTACTGTGCCCCTTTATCCTGCCCTCTTTTAAGTTACAAAGAGCTATAGTTTCATTTATTATCTTATGTATGTCTTCACATATTCATGTTATTGCCTTAAAATTTATATTAAAAAGTATGAAAACAATATTAAAATGGGCATTGCGAAGTAAATATTACCAGTGATAATAAGAAACTTGCTTGGAACTTATGGAATCTATTCCAATAAGTTTTTATACTGTATAAATTAATTATATCCCGTTTTAGTACAACACTGTTACCCAACCATTGTGTCACACAAGATATAATATTACATTATATTTCTGCAACCAGTTTTATTTGTCGTCTATAAGTAAGTCAAGGCAAAATTTTTATAACACTGTTAAGAATGTAAAATGAACCACATAAAGTATTCAGTTTGTTTTTTCAAACTTTTCGATGATTTTTTGTCGAGATTGCCATCTTGACTTTGCTGGGTATATCCCTAAGAAAGCGTCATTTATGCCTCCAGCTCACCTCGATCCAAATTTTCTCTGGATAATTAAAAATTAATCATTGTATTTAGAGAAAGAAAGACTCATTTAAGTTTAACAATGCAAAGAAAAAATTTTTGATCATTTATGTAAGTGAATACCTGAGGTTAAGTACTGAAACTTTTCATGCCACTCTGTGTAATGCCAATTGTTAATTA